CATCCATGCAGGCCTCCTGGCATTCTTAGCTCACTTACTCTTTGTCGGGATGCATTGCTTCTGAGCTTGGAGGAGATGATTCTTGAACATTAACCAGGATTTTTTGATCCCTCTTCCCTCCAGGGCTTTATCCCGTGCTACTCTGCCAAGCAGATTCCTGAAGAGGCCAAAGTTTGCTCTCCTGAAGTCCAGGGTTCTCCTGAAGTCCAAGCTTGCTTGTGCACCCTCCTCGCTGCCCCAAGGATCTTGAACTTCACCATTTCATGGTCACTGCAGCCAAGGCTGCCCTTGAGCTTCACATTCCCCACCAGCCCCTCCTTGTTGGTGAGAACAAGGTCCAGCACAGCACCTCTCTGTGTTGGGTCCTCTATCACTTGAAGAAGGAAGTTATCATCAGTTCATTCTAGAAACCTCCTGGTAGAGTTAGTCAAGAGGAAGCATCTTGAACTATTTTAGTCTGGGCTCTCCGTCCCGTTCTTAGTCAGAATAAGGTGCCCTTAATTCCTTATAGAATCATAGAATCAATTAGACTGGAAAAGACCCTTAAGATCATTGAGTGCAACTGTATTATCCTCTTACTTAAAGCTTTCCCGGTTACCTAATTTTAAACCTTATTTTAATTTATTTTCTGTTCATATGCTTAAACCAGCCACTTAAATATAATATGTGAGCTACTCTCAGACATTTTTAAAGCAATATACTTGGCATCTTAGACATATGCCTTAGCCCTGCCTTTGTGCTGTTTGTGCTTAGACCTCCCATGGGAGTGTCAGGGGCTGTGGTGAGGGATACAGACAGCAACTGAGATTGAGGTGAGTCTCTGAGACTGAGGTGAGTCTTGAGGGGTCTGAAATGGCATGTGGTGGGTTTAGCTTGCCTTCTACCAAATGATGGAGTAAATTAACCAACACTTGGTCTGTAGGAATTCATTGGTGATTTACATTTTGTATTATCTTCATGCAGACCAGTCTGGAAGACAAGACCATGGTATGCTTTGATTGTGTTAACAGCAGCAAAAATTTCCCCATTGGTACAAAAATGTATCACAAAAATGTATAGAGGATTATTCTCAGTCTAATTTCAGGTGTCCAATGTAGATAGCTGTTTTAGGAGGTGGTACCCCCACAAAGCCAATACAGAGTTGGAGTTTTCCAGATGTCAGTTCAAAACATCTAAGTCAGAACCTACCTTCATCCCTTGACTATAGGAGCATGAATTTAATTAATTAGTCTGAGCACCTCTTGGCGCACTGTAATGACCTGAAACACTGCACATGGCTGTTAAAGAACAGCTTCCGAGAAAGACTACAGTGACGATCTTGTCTTTTTTTCCTTGTCCTGCACTGTCCTCTTCTACGGAGTATTCCTACCATAGAGTCTGCAGCATGTGATGCCACAGTGCTCTCATTTGCAGTTCAGACAAATGTTGTTTCCTTTAATGGTAAAGAAATACAATTGCTTGCCAATAAGGTAATAGCTGTTTTGTTGAAGTCAGTTCAATAGTGTACTTACTTCTAGGCAATACATTTGAAGTAGTAATGGAAAAACTTGCCATTCTGTACTTTAGAACACAGAGGTCCAGATTGGGAATCTATTGCTTTACAGTAACAAACAAAATTGCCATTTGTTCTTATATTAGACAAACTGGCCTGGTACTAGGAAAAAATATACTATTATATAAGGAGGAATATGGCCTCATAAATAGAAAACTATGAAAAAAAAATCTTGATAGTTTAATTTGTTTTGGCGTATATGTCAATGATTATGATATAGTAATGATAACTGCCTGGATCCATTGAAGGCCTAGGAAGTCTCTGTATTGTTTCATAGGAAACGGGAAGAATGATTAATGTAGTGTTGAGGAGAATAAAAAAGATTTTCTCTTTTAAATTCTATAGTGTAGCGTAATAGTTTAAGAAGGATATGATGTCAAAAAAATGATGTCAAAAGCCACATTCAGACTGGCAATTACAGAAATAATTCTGCATTTGGAGGTGCAGGTTGTAGCAGTATCTCCATTCCACACCACAGTCAGACGCAGGTTATGTTTCTCAGTAAAAGAAATCAAGTGTGTATTCGTCAAAAATTATGCCTAATCTGCAGGCAATCAAGAAAATAGTTAATAAAATATTAGCTTGTAAATCAAAGGCATTCTTATCAGCTGTATAACAAGAAAAATACTAGTCTCTGCCTAGTTTTCAGTTTCTAATCTAGTTTACCATACCTTTTAGCAAGAGATAATGAGAGGAGCTTGCAATTTCAATATTCCTTCAAAGTGAAGATGCTTCAATTAAGCTACTAAGCAAAAGTATAGGGGTTTTTTCAAACTTCTTTCACTCAAGGGTGGGTGGGTGCATGCACTGGCATGGTGAAAGCTATGAATTTTGAATGTAAAAATTGCTTTGATTTTTTTCTTTCATCTGCATTGATGTCAAATTGAGTTCTTCCTTCTTTGGAACAGCATATTGAGTGCAAGTATTATTACTTTAACAACCCTGAAAAAATACAGGTGACCTTGTACTGTAAACCTGTAAGAGTAGAACCCATTAGGTTGATGTGAGGTGAATAAGAAAAAGAGATAAGAGATCATAAAAAAAAATATAGCTTGTTTGATGAACATTATGAAGGAAATAGAATATACCAGTCTACTTCTTGGCATCAAGCTAGGAAGTCATGTTTAGCATTAATTAAAACTTACTTAATATCTTTTATTTGAAAATAGGAGTGCATTAGAAATACTTATTTCTTAGACCTTGCATCTCTGAGTTAAATATTATCCACATTTTATAATTGTGCATTGCTTAGAAGGAGAGCAGCAGGGCTAGACACAGAACCAGCAATGCTAACTTCTAGTTCTCTATTTTAGCAGACAGAATATTCTGAGATTCAAATTAACCACTAGATGTTTAAGATGGAGTAGATGTAATTTTGCAACTCTGTGCTGTGCCTCAGTTAACTGGCAATATAACTGAGCTGATACGCAGTGCTATTCAGGATGGTAATCAGTGAGAAAGAGGATGGAGAACTGAGCTGAAATCACTGTGCTGCTTTCAGTAGCTGAACTGGAGCATGTAGAGTTGTGTCAAGTCTATTGTGCTGTCCAGACAGAAATTTTGAGTTCACATTACTTCCACAGGTGGTCTGACACATCTCTGGTCCAACCCTGCTCCTCCTGAACTCAGCTTTACTTTTAGCATGAAGATGAGGTGATCATTTGATCGAATGCTGAGTGGTTTTGAAAATCCAATTATTTTTCCTCCATTCCTAAATCCTGATAAATTTATGGTAAATTTTTCAATGTATATTGTAAGTTCTTCTAAGGAAGGACTTTTCCTACTAAATATTCAGAATTTGCTCTAATCCTGACTGAAGGCATGAGACACTACTCTGGTACAAATAATAACCAATCTGTCATATTTTTATTGCACTAGTTTAATCAATGTGATTATTTTCTCTTATTCCATTGATTCACAGTATATTCATATTTAATGTTCACAGTTCTTTCTGATTTATATCTTTTTACTTGTCATTTCAATGATTGTAAGGAATCTCTTGCTTTAATTATTTTACTTGCATTGGATATTATAACTTTTCATGTAAGTGTATTCTCTTGCTACAGATGATCGTGGTCTTTTTATCTATTTCTTTATGTATCCTGTGTTCCAATTTCCTATTAGAAATATGTTAATCTGTTTCACTCTGCTTCTGACTGTGTTGTAAGTGACTAATAATTTAAGATCTATTATTAGAGCTTACCACACTGTTAGTCAATGTCACATTGTAATTTAAGGCAGTGTGAAACTATCTTAGGATATTTTCCTGAAAGCTGTGAAAAGTTATAAGTAGTAACCATACTGATGTTTCAGTCATTTGTAAAGAATTATTTACTTGAATAACTGCTAGGTATTAAGAAAAGTCTACAGTGGGCATTTAATTTAAACATTATATACAAATTGCAAAACAATTTGGAAACAAGTGGTACAGTTTCATGACTTAGAATCCCAGCTACAATAATTAAAGAAGTAATAAAATAAACCTAGTAGGAATGCAGTCTGATCAGATATGCAGTATTTTTCCTTCTGAGTGAGAACCACACTCAGGGATTATATGTGGTAGATTATGTCTATTCTGCCATGGACTTCATTCAATCAAATACATTTGTCATTTCCATTGTGAAAGTACTTTTGCACCCAAACCAACAGTTTAGACTGCTAGTCCTCTAAGCACTGAACAATTAAGTCACAGTCCATATGCAAGAGACCTATTGATATAGAAATAATACAGACAACGAGGAAAACAAAGCAGCATGTAAATTCATTACAAAACAGCTCTAACTGAAGAGCTCAGGTACACATAGTTGCATGGCTTTCAAGATGCGACTGCTTTCAGCTGTACACTCTGTCCTTACAAAGGCAGCTGTCCCGATTGCAGAGGCAACAGATCAGATTGTGTATCTCTGACTACATTTTCATTCTTCAACCTGCTTGTTTGTCAGCATGAGAACACCTACTTTAAAAGATTATTTCCTGGAAAGGACTCAAGCCACTGGCCAACTAGGAGTGGATGTTGGTCTACCAGTGAGCCAAATACTCTTAGTATTGACCTAATTTGCACTAGTAAAATCTCCCATTTGCAACCACATTTATTCCAGCTCAACTTGAATAAAACAAGCTATATTAACAAAATATGTCCTGTCTATAATTTCTTGCAATTTTCTGCAAATTACATTGGTTTTAAGTAGTACCTTGTCACGTCATCAAATCCCTGGATGACATTTATAAGCTAGCAAGCAGTTTGGGTTTATGACCATTGCCTTTATGTTTTGAGAATATGTGGAATGGCAATCCTTTTAACTCCGTTAATGATTTTTTCATTTTCTTAGGTTGTTTATTTTCACTTTAACATATCCATTGTGCATGTGACAATGAGTTGATGATATGAATGGAAATCACTGTTAGAAATTTCTTACATATGTTACCTAAAGTCTCTGAAATTTTTCAGGTTAATTGCCCAGATTCATGACGAGTTGTTGTTTGAAGTAGAAGATTCTCAAATCCAGGAATTTTCAGGTAAATATAATTTCTCATGGTCTTTCTCCCCCACTCCCTTTTTTCTCCATATAACCTGTGATTTCTCATAGGATAAATAATTAATGTAACAAGAAGCAGCACATTGATTCTCATGATTAAGAAAATGTATACTAAGCAGATTTTTCTGAGTGTTTTAAACCACTGGCTCTTATGTAGATAAAATGTGATACACTCCTCATCTGGAGTTCATCAACATGCTTATTTGTGTTAAGTTTTCTCATCAAGATTCTCTCATCCAGTGTGTGAATTCTGTAAAGCTAAATAGTAATACTTTCTCCAAGGTTTCAAAGGGTTTAGAGGGAAATAAACCAGCTTAAAAATAATGGCTTGGAAAGTAGCTTCCTAAATACTTATGATTGGATCCTGTTACATAAAGTATGAAATTCTTTATGTAAGAATATAATGTACGGTAATTTCTAGGTTAGTTAACTGCTTTTTTTACATTAAGAGAACTTTATGATGGAACTTTCAAGGTTAAGGGTTAGTAAAAGTTCCTGCCTACATTTTTATCCTCTGTCTGAATTACTTCCAGACTTTATTTCCTTCCAGCGTTTGTGGCTCAGCATCTGGTACAAATTTAGCTAGCAAACAAGGGCACATAGGAGGCTGTTGGGTCTCTTCTCCAGTAAGTAGTGGATTTATTCCTGTAGGCACCAAACATTTGTTCACAAACTTTGGTCTAGTTTGAAGCCTAACAATACCTTTGGCTAAATCAATTAGCATAGTGTTGCAAATATTTTAAATGAACTAATGCAAGAAATATCTTCTATTATAAGCTAAGCATCTAAGAAAAAAATTAATTTCACTTTCCTGCATTGCGTTCATTTAAACAGTACAATTCGCTGTATTAGTCTCGTTTCATCACTGATCCCTCTTGTGAGTATTAGTTCATAATGAGAACATTAAACCTCCATCTAATCAAAATAAAGAACCTGGGAAATATTTAAGTTCAGTATATTAGGAGCATTGTAATGAATTAGGTTAATGTATTAACATTTGATTTCTAAATACAGGAGTTCAAATCTGGCTTAAATTAAAAAAACCCGCCATACAATTTACCAAAGATTGAATTATCTACTCAGAAAAGGCCAATGTCTAAAAGAGCCATAGTTTCAGTCAGAAAACATAGTGTATTGACTGAGATCTGTAAAACAACATAGAAGGATTTTTATTATCTTGTTTTACGTCAATTTGCATTAAGTACAAAGCTAATATTATACCCAAAAGGTAAATATTATTCACGGTTGCTTATGCGTATAGAAAATCATGAATTCTGCCCTCATTGGGTAAAATTCTGATCTCTGTTACTAGTATGAATTTGTAGTAAATTCAGCAAAATCAGTACTTTTCCAGTATAACAGAAAACACCTCTAGCCATTGTATAAATGACAGTAATAAATTATCCCACTATAGAAACATGGTGGCTAGAGGCTTTCTTCTGAAAACAAAGAGTCCAGTTCAAATCCTCAAGATGTGTCTGTTCTACACACAACAGTGTAACTAGTTTGCATATCTCCACATCTAGCTGCAGTGTGCAGAACAAACATACCTGTAAATTCCTTTCTCTGCTTCAAAGTTATCACCATGTAATTGAAGTTGCTAAAATGATCTTTAGGAAATGAACCTGGGCACTCAAGAGGTCTGAGATAACTTGGAAATTGTCATTGCACTTAACAGAGGCTGCCAAGCTTGAGTGTTCAAGATGGAAGTTTGTTTCATTCTCCTGATAGAAGACTGATTTTTAGTTTTGTCTCTACTTTGCCCTAGGAGGCAAAGAAAAAAAGAAAATTCTGCATTACAGTAACTTTCAGATATACTCTTACCTTAGAATAGAAGAGTGAAAATATCTTTTCCTTAACTCTAAAGACCAACCTGAGACATTAATTTCCTTATTCATTTCTTCATTCATTCATTTCCTTCTCCTTTATTCATCACTGGTGAGGCCACACATGGGGTACTGCATCCAGTTCTGGGCTCCCCAGTACAAGAGAGATATGGACAAACTGGAGAAAGTCCAACTAAGGGCGACAAAGATGATGAAGGGACTGGAGCACTTCTGTGAAGAAAAGCTGAGAGAGCCTGAGTCCCCTGTGAAGGGACTGTTCATCCTGTAGAAGAGAAGGCTCAGGGGGATCTCATTAATGTATATGCATACCTGAAGGGACGAGGCACAGAGGACAGAGCCAGGATCTTTCCAGTGGTGCCTACTGACAGGACTAAAGGCAATGGGCCCTAACTGTAACACAAGAGGTTCCCTGTAAACATCGGGAGACACTTTTTTACTGAGTGTGACTAAGCACTGGCACAGGTTGCTCAGAGAGGTTGTGGAGTCTCCATCCTTGGAGATACTCAAAAGCCATCTGGACACAGTCCTTGGCAGCTGGTTCTAGATGACCCTGTTGAGCAGCAGGGTTGGACCAGATGACCTCCAGAGGTCCCTTCCAACTTCAACCATTCTGTGTTTTGCCACTGGTAAAAGAACTAATCCAAGTTGTTTTAAAAGTGACTGAAGCTGGCTCTTCCTTCAGGGTCATTAATGAAGATTTTGCTTGGTCTGAATAGGCAGAGAAAGAGTGCATCTGCACTAGCATGTAACTTCCAGTCAGAAGTGTGATGATGAAACAGATCTCCCTGTTGTCCCCAGTCCATGGTGTGAACAGTTTTGGTTCATATCACAGAGCAGTCTGAGAGCAGTTGACCTAGATTCCTTTCAGATGAAACTAAATAGGAAGACTCTTTTCTCCTAACCTTTTCCAATTATTTCAGGAGCTGCTAACTGAGGTAACAAATTAGGTATGTGAGTTTTAAACCAAAGGAGTGTCAGTAGGATGTGTGCTCCTAATTCACTTTAGTGCTTTGAAACTCCAAATAGGGTTTTCATCCCTTTACCCAAACTTCTTTCTCTCGTTTTTTTTAAGCCGTTACACTTCTTACTTTTATTTGCTGATATTCTTTAGCTGTCAGCTTTGTCTTTACATATCTAATGAGCTTTTGTCCATTCAGAAATTAATTTACAGAATCTGCTGACTTGCAGTTTCCAGCCTGCAGCTTAATGATCCAGAGAGAAATCTCACTCGTACAGTCACAAAGCTCAGTAAGGGGAGAGTGGACTTTGATGGCTTTAATGGACTACAGTTCAGTGCTGTGTTACTCTCCTGCATTTAGTGTGATCCAAGAAGCACTGGCCTATTATTCAGTGTGTTTACATTCTGATTCCAGTCATGTTTCTGATCTACTTTTTAAGGAAACTAACAACAAATATATGTGTGACAGTTTGGGGTTTTTTTTTTCAAATGGATATGAAATCTTAAAATATTTTTAAGATTTATATATGAAGAACATAAAGGTAAATAACTTTATTTCAATTAGATCATAGTGCAGAACATAAGCCTTCTCAGCAGCATTTCCCTTATGGAATTGTCTCTTTTGTATTGTTTTACAACATTAAAATGTCTATTTTCTTCTAAGACTCTCCTGAGTAGAGACAGAATTGCCACAAGGCAATCATAATGCTGGTGCTTTCTCTATTCCTGCTTAGAACTTCATAGGCCACAATCAGAATTTTCAGTACTTTTCAGTATACAGAAATCCAATTTATAGTGCACCTAATAACCTATGCCCAACAGATGTTTTTGAATCTTTTGAATTTGATAAACAAGGGGCAAGCAATAAGATGTTCTTTTTTTCTAATATCTACTTTCGCACCAAATACTGCTTGTAACTGTAGATGTTATCTGTGAAGAATACCTTCTTCAGAATCCATCACCCATAGGTTTATGGTATGTGTATGGTTCACTCTGAATGGACAAGGCAAAACATCATTTATTTACAAAAGGCTTTGAGTGTACAAATTTTGACATACTTTGAAATAAATAAAGCAACTACTTTGAACTGTGTAATTTTCAACAAAGTAATGGCATATTATTTGCCTTAATTCTCTGGTTAGGACAAGAACAAGACAGCAAAAGAGCTTTTTTTAAATCCTCATTTTCTATCAGAGGCTGCCTGGAAAGATCAAATCAAAACATTTGGCAGAAATTGGTTTGGTTTTGGCAGAAGACTGTCAGCTTTACCACCAATAATCTGCCTGGTTTCTAGCCAGTTTGCCTGCCTGGCTTCCTCTCATCCTGAGCTCTCCAGCAGCCCAGGAAACAGAAAAGCAGATGATATTTTGGGAATGCCAAAAACTGGGCTCTTGGATCTGAAAGAGCTCAGCATCTCTTAGTTCTGAAGTCTGTGTAATCAGGTAGACAGACTGTCCCCAAATCAAACTGTGAGTCTCTCTAGGGACTCTGGAAGAGTATTCAGGAATTACAGAACCCACTTTTTCATTTTGTGGAGACTATTTCTGAGACTACATCTCCATGCTGTTCGAAATGCCTCTTTGCCCTTGGATTACTCTGAATATATAGCTGCTAAAAGGGGTAATACACTTTGGGGTGAAGAAATGCAGAAGATATTTTTTTTTTTTTTTTAACAAAAACTACAGGGATACCTGTAGTTACAACTGTAAGATCTGGCTTCTTATGTGTATTCCATATATACCTGCTGGATTTGAAAGGTGAACTTTGCCAGTGGTGATTACTGTGGATTGTTCCTTGTCCCTATGCTTGCTTAATTGCATCCATTAGTGAGAAGCATAATTAAATGACAGGCACTTGGTACTTGAAATAACACATTTTTGTAGAAATATGTGTATTCCAGTACTTTGTGTTCAGTATCACAGTGCATTAGGGTAATTTTTAGAAGGTTTTTTTAGAAGTCATTTATAATCATACATTATTGGTAGAATTAAATAAGTTAATTTTTGCATCCATTCTTACATTTGATACATGTAACATATACCGTTTAAAACAATTTTTCTGATATTTTACCAGGTATAAAATATTTCAGCTGAAATACTTTAAATGTAAGAAGATAAAAAGGACCAGTCTAAGAAATAAAATCAGAATAAATCAAGCCTATTTATTTTGATATTAAGATCAACTAAGATTATTACTACCTAAACAACTTTATCTTAGTCTTCTTTTTTAAATCTGCCAATACAAATTTTTGACTCATGTACAAATTCCATGAAATTGCATTTTATTCTGCTACACCTTCTCATTTAATGAGTACTGAGGCAGCTGCATAAAAAAGTGCACATGTTCAAAAGGGGACTCAAGTAACAGAAGAACAAAAGAATGAACTGGTCATCACAAGTTAGTGACATTTTCTGTCCTCAGAGCTGCTTTTTCCTAACATGAAAAACACTGGTGCATAAACTAAAGATGCCTCCAGATAGCTTTCAATTTGCAAAATTCCCTATTCCATAGATCATATGTCTGGCCAGCTTTGACATGTTTCTGAAGTCATAATTTCATAGGTGAGTGAGCTTGAAAAATGTCTTCAGTTCAATAGGGACAAATAAGCTTTTGTTCCACAGCAGGCATGCATGTCTTTTCTTTGCTCCTATTCCCAAAACTTTCATATTTATTCTGGTCAGTATCAAGAAAATCTAATATATGTTCAAACATATGTTAAAATTTCAGTTCCCTGTGTCCTCTCCACTTTGCTGTCTTTTTTTTCATACATAGTATTTTAACATGACATACTTAGCACTTACAAAGCATTCCAGGATGGGTATAATCAACAAATCTCGTAATTGCTGACTATGCGTTTTGGGAGATAAGTTGCAAAGGTTGGGAGGACAGCATTTAACACATGCCATTGCAGTATATGGCTGGCTGCAAAGGAACATTTTAAAATTAATAATTTATGTGCCCTAGATATACTAGATTCTTGACTGAACAGAAATAATCATTATCCCAAATGCCTCCAAATTCAAAAAAAAAAAAAAAAAAAGTGGTAGAGACAGATCTATTTAAATACTGTGGTCACTTTTGTTAGGGACCACACTCTATAATGTGTATGAGGTAAAGAAGATACAGTTGTTTATGTCTGGATTGTTTATTTTGAGCCTTGAGAGAATTTTTAAGGAGATATGAGAGAGTAGCGGGAGAATCAGATATTGTATACATAGGACTAAAGGGGACCTCTCCTGCAATTACATGCCACCATGCCATAAGGCCTCTTATAAATAGACATCTCCATATGAAAAATTACTTCCACTGGGAGACTGTTCCAGAATTTAATCTCACCAAAATCTAGAGCTTTACATTTCCAGCCTAGATGTATTCCGCCAGTTTACCTATTTATTTCTATGCAAAAAACTGTCATTAAGTTTAAATGCTTCCTTCTTCACTGTTTACTGTCTTAGCAGACTACTGAACAAGAATGGTAACCCAGCTGATTTTTCTTGGTATTTCTGTTTTCATTATATAGTTATTATTTCATTCAAAATCTGTTGTAAAGTACATGTAGGCAAATCTTTCAGATACTTGCAGAGGTATGATTTCAAAAGGCTGAAGTGCAAGCAAACTTCAGATTGCTTGAAATGAATGGTTTTACTCTGCCACCCACTAAAGTCTGGGAAGAGATGGAAAAGTCAGTGATATGAGAAAGAGAACAGGGAGCCAAACTGACAGAAAAAAACAATGAAGAAAATGGAGCAAACCCATGGAGAGGTTTTTAATGGGTTGTCAGAGTGAATGAGGAACCATTAGGTTTGTTCACTGATGTGGCCACTTTAATCTGTGCTTTTTAAAATTTAGAGCAGTTAAGAATGCAGCAGAATTTCGAATGTGCCAGATGCATTTAAGCGAAAACTATGTGAACCAACAGAGAAAGATGTTGCAATCATTGCTGCCATCATGAATCTCCTTTTGGGGATAACAGTTTCAAATTCAGAGGTCTGGAGAACTGGGGAAAAACTGGTCTAACTCAGTGCATATGCAGACAGCACCCTTTATCATACCACTCATATCTTTCAACCCATGAATTGATGCTGTTGACTTATACTTCATCTTTTTTTGTCCGCTGGAGCTCTTTTTGTCAAGAAGACCTATGCCTCCCATTGCCCTGATGCTCTATTGCTGTTTTTTTGTCTAACAGCTCAGAAAGTTTTAAGTTGCACAGAGTTGAGTCTGCCCTTTATGAGTGCTTTGGTGGAACATAGAGAGCAGAGTGATTCTGCATGAGAAGTGCAGAATCCAGATGTTACTCTTGCACAAAAGCTTTGTGCAGTCATAGCCTGGTAGGGAGCTTACCAATGGAAGAAATGTTTACCCAGGGACTGACTGGCAAAGCATTTAGCCTTCTGAAGGCATGCCACCTGGTTGGAGTGCCCCAATGTCTGCTGCATTGCTGACCTCCTGGGGCTGGCAGCTTGTTGAAATTCAGAGTGGGCTTCTCAAGACAGAGGCAGTCCAGCACTCCTCTGTTAATAGCCATGTTGACTTGGACGGGATTTTAAGTGGGTAATTATTTAAGCCAGTGCTTCCTCTTTCACAATCTGTCATTGCAATATTTGTTTCTGCTCTCCAAAAATGATGCTATGTCCTACACTGAACCATAAACTGCCTCAAATCTAACATGAAGCAAATACATAGGTGGAACTGTGCATAGAAGTGTCAACAAATGTCTCAGTTCCCTCAGCCTTGGCACTTCAGCTGCTGATCTTTTGAGTTACTGCATAATTTGGACTTCATGGAAAATCTTCTGACAGCTCATTAGCACGCAAGTCTGAGTGAGCCAGCACAGTCTGAGCACTCCACTTCTGTTCAGGCAGAAGCTAGTTATCCTCATCATTATTATCAAGCCAGCCTCAGTGTCACAGATGTGACACAAAACATTACATACTACTCTTCATTGCTGGCATCATTAGAAAAGGTTTTGGAAGCAGCCAGAGCAACAACCATACGCAGCTTCTTAGAGTTCTTGTCGCTCCTTTGCATCTAACCTCAGCTGCAAAAGAACAGTGATGTGCCTCAAGGGGTAACTTCAAAGAAAGCTTCTAAGTAATAATGTGGTTTTCGGTCTAGCAGTTATCACCACATCTTATGTACCCTGATATTTCTCAATTCTGTGAGGCACATGATGACATACATTATTTAGTCAGCGATCCTGTCAGAGCATTGAAGGTTGCTCAATATCTTTTGTACTGGGGCTGCCTGGTATTCCTATTTCACTTTCACTAACCAGAAGTTACTTCTTTTTTAAAAGCCATTTATCCATTGAATCTCTCTTTGAGTTTTATTAGAACAATATGGTGTTGCAGCAGCAATCTTTGTCAAGCAAAACACTAATTGGCATAACCAAGGATGACAAATCTGATCCCAAATGATTGATTTGGAATAATTATAGATGCATTTTCACAGTAATAGTGAGCATAGTGTTATGACATGATGAGTTGTTAAGTTACATAAATCATACTGAAGTTTAATTGTTTAGATTCTTCATAGCTCCACTATCCCACAGGGAAGATTTTTTTTTAAATTTGGCTCTGATCTTTTTACTTTGAAGGATAATATATTTTAGACAGTTCAGTATTGTTTTCTTAGCTTTTTTTTAAAGATATTTTTTCTGCACAAGAAAATTAAATTATATAAAATGTCACCAGCATATAGTTAAGAGTACTTGAAAGCTGAGAATTACAGCACTCAGACATGCTGTACCTCTAAATAAAATACATTAGTGATGTACTTCTTTATTTATGGGATATATAAGTTAAATAATTCTCCAAGTTTCACCCTAAAAGTCAATAATTCAATTTAAAATAAGGAATTGAACCTTCCACAAGAGATTAAAATTTAACTTAAAAGAAAAATCTGAAACCGTTGTAAATGGTAAATTTTTTAAAATGTAGAAATACAGGTGTTATATAACAGAATATGAAGCATGTGGGGTTTTTTTATATATATAACAATTCTAGCATGGAATACAAAACTGTAAGTTTTCACATTTACCTTACAGTGCTGGTGAAAAGAACAATGGAATCCCTGCAGCAAACCACAGCCTTGGAAGTGCCACTAAAGGTAGGGACAATTCTGAATTTCCATTACTGTCTCAGGCATACTTAGTTTTGTATGCTGTCATCATCATATTAAGAATCTAGAGACAACTATTTTGCCTTTCACTTCAATAGTTTCATTTCCATATTTGCAAGTAATCGCTTTTTAAATTACTATAAAAATTCTAAAGGAAAATAACTGAAAGAAACTCAACCTCCATTTTGGAAAGTGTGATTGTCATCTACTCTTTGTCTTAGCAATGCAGTATGATAATTTCAAAATCTATTTTGTTCATTGCCATGAAATTTCTGTTGGGTGTGGTAGAGTGAGAAACATGTGCCTTTAATAGGCTTTCTAAATGTGCCAAGCATTCATTACTGCTGAAAAATTGTTGCAAAAGATCTTTCTTCAGTATTTTTCATTTAGAAAATTGGTCTTCTTAACATTTCTGTGTGGATGCCTAATATATAAAGCAGACAAAATCATTGGTCACTGTTTAAAGTATAGGACGTAATCTGACTGAGCATTTGTAAAAACTGAGTAGATAGCTATACAGCTATTGTACCTATCTATATTGGACCTAATTATAATTATTTTATAAAATAATGATATTTTTCTCTCTACAAGATTGACACCCTTCACTCTAATTACCGCTCAACTTTTGTTGCTTAATAAAGGACCATAGTTCCTGGGAATACCTAAACTTATTAAGTGAGCAGCAGTCCAAGGGTTTCCAGTTTCCTGAGGAATGGAGTACTTGGCGTTGCCAGAACTCATTCAGCAGTATTACTGAACAAGATTGGGGGACAGAAAAAAGTTTGTTCTGCTTATTTCAGAAGTGGTTACGACATACAGAGTTGCACTAATGGAAACTGTTGGAAAACTACTAGATAAATTCTAGCTTGCATTTCATTCTCCAGATCTTCTATGTCTATTTCAGCATCTCAGCTCTTTGTGAGCTCCTTCTCTGGAGGTCTTGCAGTTATATATTTCTGGGTCCTTATGGAGCCCATCTTTCTCACAGAAGCTGAAAGAACATAATGAGGAGTATCTGAGATCTAAATTACTCCTCCTTCCTGTGCTGGAATCACCCCCTTGCTGTTCACTTAACCCTTGTAAGAACTTGCACTGCTCTTTACCAGATTTGGTCAAGGGAGACCTTTTGGCCATACTGGGTTATACGTTTCTTGCACTGATACTCCCAAGCTTTATAAACTGCATTTCTGTAGGTTGCTTACAGTATACACCTGTGCTTGCCTATCTCCTTTTGTTAGAAATTCCTTGAAAAAAAGAAGCAAGACTGTTTTTCAAGGTATACTACATGTAAATATTTTTAATTACAGTATTAGACCCATGGCACTCATGCTGCTGTAAGGTTCAGTAAAATAATCAAATATAGTATTATTGATGGTATATAAAGTGAGTAACAACACTATAATCCTCCTTGATAGTTTTAGCAGACTCTTTTTGGCAACTGTCAGAGACAACATTGTTCATACTTTGCCTGAGGAAGACATTGCCATGAGATAAAATATGAGCAATTTAATAGGTTTCTAAGAAAGACAAATGTTTACATGGTTAATGAGAGTGTTCATAGTTACATGGGCAGAATATCATTTTAGTGTTATATATTTCAGACTAACCATTAACTGTCTGAAGGCTTTAATATCCTATGGACAAAATGGGACACACCCTCTTAGAACACAGTTTCTTTCACCTCTGTTTAAGGTGTCTACTATGACACACTGACAAACTCATCTCTGTGTTAACAAATGGATTCAACATGTTGTTCCTATGAGAACAATAATTCTCTCTTAAACAACAACTACATTTTAATAGGTGAGAAAAACCACAATCTTGGATATTAGGTAGTTCTCTGGGATTTTCAAAGATTACGACTTTTTAATAGGCAGTAGAAGTATTTGAAGATACGTTTTATTACCCTTGTTTTGGTCTCCTTTTCCTGAGCAAATTACTGTAGGAGTCATGACAAACTTCTACTCCTACTGCACTGTAGACTAAATGCATACTTCATCTTTCTCTGAAGCATCACAAATGGATTGATGGCAGAGGCCAGATAGAAAACATAAAGAACCAACAGCTTGATCTCAGAGAAGAAATCGAGTGATCTTTTAAAAAAAAATCTGTATTTTTGTTCATGTTGTTTACCCTTCTATACAGTAAGAAGATGTCTGTTAGGACTAGCGATGTTAAAGATGAAAAGATTTTTTTTAAATGCTCCTGCTGTCCTTCAGCACATTTGTTTCAACTAAATATATATTATGTGCTCTGTTAATATGAATATTACTTTTTAATATGGTGGAAAAATGTCACTAAAGTAGAGTCTTAATGGGGAAAGATTTATTTTTCTTCTTTGAGGAAAGGATGCTTTATCTTTGAAGTAGCTTCTTTTCCAAAATACAGTCTTTGCTAATGAGGCATCTTTCATGTCAGAAAGTCTAATGTGTAACAGAGCAGCAGTAACTGGAAAACAAATTGAAATAAAACCAAAACAACAACAAAAATGCCCCAGAATTGGAAAACTGGATGGTAAAAACCCCTAGTACCTTTATGCATTACTGACAAAGTTGCTGATTATAAACACTCCGATTCTGTATCTCTTTTGAAAAGCATAATAAGATGAATTTTGCTTTAGCATATTCCTAGCAATTCAGTAACATGTATTTGCAATTTCAGAACTGAAGGTTAGTCTTAATTGTTAAGCTATTTTAATCAAGATTGTAGTGATAATTAAGTATTAATAGATATGAAGAACATTTCATATTGGATAGGCGTGTAATCTAGAGCAGTATCAACATCCAAAGGGAAAAGCAAAAATAGTAATCTTGCTATATATGATGTGTTTGTTTGTTTAATTTATTTTCTTTTTTTTCTGACAGGTTCCCTTAAAAGTGATTCTTACCACTGGGAAATCATGGGGGTGTATGACAGAATTGCAGGAGATGTAAAGCAGTCATCGGGGATGTTATTCAGTACCCGTACACCTCATTGGCCTATGCTGATTCCTCACTGAATCACTAGGCAACAGCGCTGCTGGATCTTTCATAAGCACCTAATACTCTGCATGTGAATTTTTTTACTTCATTTTGTCTGTAGCCCTAGGCAACAGCAGTGAGATAAAACTGGTTTTTACCAGTTCATTGTGTTTCCTTTAGCCAAGGTAACCAGCAGGGAGCTGCTTTTGTTCAGAACTAAATTACTACATGTAAGAAATGAAGCAAGACAATATTAACCCTTTGGGAACACGACATATATTTGAGTTAGATGGATGTTTAGACTTTAATGTTAAATATTTTGTGAAGTGCTTGTGTAAAAATACTTCTAATCTGACACTATTTGAACTGCATCAGCAAGTGCTTAACTGTTGTGTTCAGTTTATTTTATATTTTGTGAGTAGAAGGCAGCTGCTTGGTTTGTATCACTTATTAAATGTCACGTTACATAGACTTATAAAAAGAGTTCTTTGGAAATGAAGAGTCTCCACTTTATGATTTTGGAGCAAAATAGGTAAACAAAACTGGATGCCTAAATGTGTTAAAAATAACCAGATTGTTGTCAATTAAATTCATTTCAAACTCAGTTTATACACTGCAACCTTAGCATACTTTAGAGGAAGTATTGTAGTTTTGCACAATCTATTATTTTTATTACTGATATAATGCTAAATATTGTTTAGATAAATTTTAGGATTCAGCCTTATACTTTTTAGGATTCAGGCTTCTACTTTAATGTTTGGCTTTGTTATTGATATTTTGGTTTTCTGTAGAGTTTATTCTTTAAATTAATTTGTTTCATAACATTACTGGTTGTCAAATTCTACCTCTGTGCTTGTTGAATATGAAACTGTCCTGAAAGTCAACTAATTATTTAGATGTCAAGCACAAAACTTTTAAGAGATGTTCAGTATCTTTCAGCATCAGACCTCAAATGATCAAAGTAATATTGATTTAGATTTTTAAAGTGTATAGTTACAGAGATTTTGCAGCAGTTTTAATTTGTATCATTAAACAATTTTGCATTGCACTTAAAGGCATTAAACTATTAAACATTTAATATATTGCATATTAATCATACATAATCTGTCAGCTGAAGTGAGTCGGTCATTTCTAAAAATTGTTTCTTATAAAATTAGCAGTGATCATGTAAGCAAAGTCAGAACCTTCTACATATTAATTGGGGGTCAGATCTGGTTGGGGGAGAATCCAGCCTGCCTTGCTGTAACACTCTGTCTGGTCATGTGAGCAGAAAGTCTGATTCTGCCTTACCAACAGAGAACAGGTTGCACGAATTTTCTTCTGCTTTTTGCCATTTTCAAACCTTCTGTGTTTGCAATGGCATTGAATAAGTGTGAAATGTTCTACTCTCTCATCTGTTTCACTCCTCTTGAAGACCTACTGTTTTCAGGAGGCCTGTACTAATTAAGCCTTGCTTTGCTAAGGCTACATTGCTAACCTTACAACTATATTAAAGTTGTCAACATTTTTTGTACATTTCCCAGCTGATTTCCACCTTGTGTATGTTTCTTAGGATGCATACTTTTAAGCTAGATAAGTAGTGTACTTTTTCAAGTCCTGAACAATACTAGGTATACCCTTCAGCCTAACAAAACACACACACACGCTTAAGAACATAAAGAAGCTTGATCCTGTCCTGTGAATTGGCATCTGTTCAAATATGAAGCTACAGAAATGCAGAGGTCACCATACAGAACAAATTTTCAAACACAGCCTTTCACAAAAGACTGTCAGTCACAGTTCCCTAGGCGTGTGCACTTTGTATAGATTGTCATACAGTGGTCAGAGTTAATATTTTGTTCTCATTGTGTCACAGAAAGGGACTGGGAATGCCTGTGGATACCAGGTTTGCCCCTTCCGCTTTTACAACTTTTCTTCTTAGTTTTAAATTTCCAAAGAGTCAGCTAACAAAAGGAAGAGAAGCAAGCAATAAGGGCACTGCTTTATCACACATGTCTGAGGGGTCATTCTGCATTCACTGGGTGAGGGCAAAAGGCAAACTGGAATAATTTTTGAGGATTGTTGATGACCAAGACCTCAGGACTTGGTGCAGTTTGTGTGCCCAGAACTTACAGGATGCATATGATGAACTCAGGATATATTTCCAGTGCTCCAGATTCTCCAGTAAAGAAACTGTGTTTTCTTCTAATTGCAGCCTGTGAGTGAATTATCATATATGGATTTGTGTCTTAGCTAGGTGGAGACCAGAACTCTTTGATGTACAGCGTCTGCTCTACTATGAATTACAAATACTGGGTCGTGTTCTCCAGTTGTTTGGTTCTGTTCACCTTGGATAGCCAGGTGAGTGTCTAGTCTTCACTATCTGCCCTGTACTACTGTGTTAAGGTATAGATCTTGTGGATTACTAGATTTCTCAGAACTCACTGAAGTGCTTTGACTTCAAAGTTCCTCAGTTTTTAACTCACATGATCACAGATATTGGGAAGAGTGCTGAATCTTCGGGACAATTTTTTTCAACTTTGCAATCCATTCCCACAGTCTTCCATCCTGTATGGCAATACAGGGTTTAGAAACAGTTGTATTTTTCAAATTATAGAATTGCAGAAGTATCTATCTCTTTAGCATGGCAGTGTTTTCCTTGAACAAGCTGCTTGAGATAGGGTAGTGTTTGCAATTCATTTCCCAACAAGGTCCTCTGGACAAGGCATCAGTTTTACCACACTGTGTGCTGTTTTATGTACAACTATAAAATCAAGGCAGTGCAGTTTTTCCAAACCCTAGGCAAGCTACCCTGCAGTATGCTTGAATCTAAAGAGCCATTATAGGAAATCAAGGCCAGTCCTGACCACAGGTTTCCTCCCAAACAAATACAGGTGAAAATATTCTGTATTTGATGACTGCCAGGAATTCCTTTTGGGTGGGACAATAATTTCACACTGGAGAACTCAAGACTCTTATAATAACTAACCACCTTTTCGGGTTATTTTGGTTGTCTGTGAAAGGGACTGTAAAACATGGGTATGTTGGAGTAGGAGCAATCATAAGAGCCCTTTTTAATTCTTAAAAATCTCCATTTGATCTCTAAAATTATTCTCACAACCTATGAAGAGATACTGGGAGAGCAAGAAACAAAACTGCAGAACCCTACTAAAGTACTGATCGATGAGTGTGGGAGATCGCAGAATAGATGGGGAGACACAAATAGCTGGATCTATGTAGCTTCAGTTATCTTTTGTGGGCAGAAATCTCATTAATTGATTCTCTGAGCACAGTAATAACCCCTTTTGAACCAATTTGTCTCTTTGGGTTTAATTTCAGTTGTGTCTTTCGTGGCCTGAATTTTCCCTTAGATCATCTGTAAATCTTTTGTTTGACATGTGGAGTAGTAGGGAAGAAATGCTATTTTAAAACACTTTAACTCAGTGTCTGTGAGAAATGGAACAGCACAGCTATTTGCTGGCATTTTCATGGGCATGGCATGACCAATACATATCTGCTCAGGGCTTGAATCTTTTAATGTCCATGTACCACTGTGGCATGGTGGGATTCTGATCTTGAATGTTGGTCCAACTTGATAATAACCATAGTTCAATCACTTGTCTCAAATTTTATGTGAGCAAGATGTTTTAAACATGAGAGGGAAAAAAAACCTCTCATTTTTTGAAAACAGAGTAGATTGAGAATGAATCTGCTAGAGCATCCAAGACATCATTTGTTCTTGGTAATGGTTAAGAAAAAGCCCTTAAAAGTAAACTCATTTCATTTCTGGAAGTCAACAGAATTTGTTCATTTCATTTTCTTGTTTAATCTGATTTGAAAAGGAAGCCAAAGAATGGGTTGAAGGTTGTATTATGCCTACCTGATACATTTCCTTAATGGCCTAAAATGTCTCTTCTTGCTTCCCCATTAGAAGACCAGACTGAACAAATAAATCCCTGTGTAACCTGGTCTTGACCTCATAACTCACTCACTTTGAGCATGAGGTTGGACTAGAGTCGTTGTGAGGTCCCATCCAACCTGAATTTTCTCATGATCCTATGTCATTATTCAGTTGGACAACAGCAGCCATTTGATTGAAAGACAAACCAGAAATTCCCTTCACATATTCTGCTGTACCACATTAAAGTATACAGTGTCGTACCAGAAGAAGCCCCAGAAATGTTTTGGGATTTCATTCCTCCTTCCCACCTGTGTTGCCTCATTCTGTGCCAGCATTTACTATATTCCTTGGCTCACGGGCTCACTTTTGGCTGGCGTACTTCCTTTTGGTATTAGCAGGTTGTCAGAAACATTCAGGGAGTGGAAAGGAATCAGTTCTTATTTCTGCTGTTCTGCAATAGTTTTAGTAGGCAGGGTGTCTCTGGGATTTAAAATAAGTTTCAATCATGTCTTGTCTTTGCCTTCCTGGGAAACTTCCACAGCCTGATCAGCTCATCTCTACTGGAAACAGCAGCCTACAATCAGCTGGTTCTCTTGAGACATCTTTGAAGTGCAGTTCTACCACCCATTTTTGTAAGATCTTCTCATGTTATTGAGTAAAGCCAGGTAATTTGTTATCCTCTTGTTATCCACTTCTACTACCCATTTTTGTAAGACCCTCTCATGTTATACTGTAAAGCCAGGTAATTTGTTATCCTCTCTGCTTGTGTTTTGAATTCTGGAGGTCCAACTTCCAGCCAATGTTTACTTATTTTTGGTGCATTTTTCCATGTCACCTTCTCCAACGCTAATTAGTTGGATAATTTTTTGATTCTTCCTCAGCTTTTGCTATCTACACTGATAATTTAATCCACTGCCAACCTTTCATCAATACTGTTATTATTGGTAGTAAAACTGTCACTATTAATTGTCCACAAGTTAAGAAAAACGTTGCTTATTTTTCTGCCTCTAACCTTTGTGCTCTCAGCTTGCTTCCTTCTACCATTTGGCACAGCATTTATGCATTTATGGCATTTTGGAGACTATTTTCTGGCTAACTTTATTTTTGCTGTAGTTGTTCATTTCTCTATGGTATCAAAAATTGACTGTAGAAATTCTCTCTTTTTTTTCCCCCTTCATTTTTTGGCAGATTCATCTGCTGTGCACACTGAATTTCTCACTTCTAATTATTCAAAAGTGTCATGCATCAGATTACAATCCCATTTCCCAATTTGTGTGTTAAGCAGACATCTATACTTACAGGCTCCTGAGAATCAACCTCCATCCTCCCCACAAGTGGCTGCTGCCTGTTACACTGCATTTCTGTACAAAATTGGCTGAGGCAAAATTAGATACCTCCCTGGATTACCTTGGCATCTTTGCAGTGATCCATTAGTCCACATCCAGCTGAGTCCAGAAATTAGTTAATTGCTGATTTATCCTAAATGTCTTGGTATCTGGTTAGGAGAAGAAGACAAGTCTCCTCAGGACGTCTGCCAGAATTTTTTTTCCTTCCCTTTTTACCTCTAAGCTGTGCCCCAAAGCCAGCTCAGGCTGCTGATTGACTCCAGACTGCATATGAAGGACACCTATAAGAACTTCATTTCTTCACAATGAATAAATTCAGCAGCAGTTTGAAAGCTAGGCCACCCTACTTGCCTGCCAGCAATCCCCATCTCTGTTTATCTTCCCATCCATTCACTTGAACTGTGATGTTAAATTAAATAAGCTTCCCAAGGAGGTTTTCCTTTAAATATAATGAGCTTTTGTAACACATGAGCTGGGAGAAGTCAACATCTTCCCTTGGGGCCTCTGTGGGTCACAGATGAGGTTAAAAAAGTGTTGTAAATGTTGGGCTTTAGTCAAATTCTCTGGCCATGTTGTGCTGCTTCAGATACTATGGCTTGTAATACATTTGATTCTTCTTTTGGAGCTGAATTTTTTTTAGTCCTTTCACTTCTTGTCACAAGTGAACCAAACTTTAACCTTCTCTTGGCATTCTCCATATCCTTTAACACCTTTCATTCCCTGGTAATCAGGTTGATATCCACCTCTTTAATTCATTTTACCCCTCCAGTCTGGGCCATTCATTGCTCAGACATTTATAATTGCACAGTAAAACAAATATTTTTCTGATAATGAGTCATC